CTTCCATTTTTGGTGTGTAAATTCTGCAAGAAATACAGTCTTGACTTCGCGGTCACAGTGAATGCTGATGCATTCTGTCATTTCCAACATGTTGTGTATAAGAATGTTGCTTTGAACTCAAAAGAGTTGGACTCAAGAACAGGTTGAAGGGAAAAAATGGTATTAAACTATCTTTGAAAGTGAAACAATTATTAGTATCATGAGCAACTTGAGCTGACAAGTCAGCCTAAGAATTACAAAGAGGACCAAAAAGCTAACAACCACACACATAACATGCTGCTATAAGCAAAACACAACTCTGAATACAAGAAAATAGAAACAACTGGAGGAGAAATATCATCAAGGTTAACAACACTAAGGCTAGACTGGCTATATTAATTATATAGTTTGGTGTTAATTGAACACAAGTTCATTTTTGAGGGCATCAATGTTTGTCACACATTGATCTATTTTCCCATTTGAGATGCTGGAAATGAATTTTTTAGATATTCTTTTCAGCTGCCAAAGAATATTCTCCAAAGCTTAGAAAAAATGCTTTTCTCCACCACATGACCCCTTAAATACTTATCCCATATAAAGTTAAATACATTATCATCATTATTATGCAGTCCAGCCTGTGGGGAAATTAAAAGCATGATATAATTCATGATAATCTTTCCAGTGGTCATGTAGGAGGTTTGCTTTGGCTCGTGTCATAAAGTCCAAAACAAAGGAATCCATGGACAATTCACAGGGCAACAATCCGATACTGATATAAATGAAAATATGGTAAAAAAGGAAATTGCGGAGAGATATTTGAATGTCACAATAGCTCTAAAATGCAGACCAGCTGTTTTCAGCTGCGGTTTGGCCTCCCACGATAATGTATTTTTAAGTGGAATTTTGCTAGTAGTTGGATTTTGTGTCAAAAGCCTTTACACCCTGGCTACATCAGTGACACGGTATACCCATCAAATGAGCAGCGCAACGATATTTCCCAATGCCTTTTTTCTACTGAGCTCAGATAGATGTCTCCGTTGTTCGGAGCTGAGCGACAGTTGTTCTGATGAATCGGCTCGGCAATTACCAGGCTCCAGAGCCACGAATAGCCCTCTCTCCTCTCTTCCCAGTCACTGAGGATACTGTCTGTACCTTTAACAGCACAAAGCTCCCCGGGACCTCGCCGGACACCTTGGCCCCACTCGTGACAAAGAGCTGAAAGCAGATCCTGTCTCGCAGTGAAATGCCTCGCCTCATCTGGGACCAACCATTAAAGACATTTGGCCCAAGAGCTGGGAATCGTGGTATATGATGGCAGCAGTGGAACGCACTGGGGTGAGTAGGCAAACAGACAGGTTTTGACTTTTGTGTCCTCGACAGACGACAACCGATGACATAAGATTTTGTTTTGTTTGTTAGAAAACTACTCCCAAAAAGAAACCGTTATCTAGCTGTCACAGTCCTCTGCGATGGGCTTTTTTCTTTCAGTCCAGCAGTGTGTCAAACTGATGTCACAGCAATTAAAACACAAGTGGTGTGGAGTAATTGCCGTTGGCTCCGAGAGGACAGGACTCTGAGCCCTCTAATGGTCCTGCATCCCTGATGCCAGGGCCGGCTTAATAATGCTCTCCTTTCATTGCCCGACACAGCCAGGACAAACAGGAGAGCAAAAAAAAACAAGGAGGAGAGAGGAAGAGAGGAGAGTTTGACAGAAAACAGGAGACAAGACGCACAAAGCAAGCATGAAAGCATGCAAGTCTCTTTCTGTCTGTGTGAGCCTTCTGTAGAGAACAGCACTAGAATTCTGAGGAGGCCTCCGAAACACTAACAGTGCCTTAAAGACTCTATTGAAGAGACGGCACCACTCATTATTTCCCTCCAGATTGCCAGTTGTTATATAAAAAAAGAGTAATTTATATGATCACATTCCAAGCCAAAAATACTGAGGTAAGTACACCCTCAGATATAAAGACTCACAACCAGGGGAGGATACCCAATGCACCCAATCAAAGCAGAGGATTTGTCACTTTGGTGATCAGATGCGTGTTAATACAAATGCCAAGGAAGAAAGACATCAGCAATGTCCTTACACGAGCACGGTTTGCCACTCACCGCTGTGAAGAGGGCTATAAAGCACGAAAGAACAAATGTGAAACTGTTCAGACCTCGGTTGCTCGTTACATGTGTAAGTTTGTGCCAGCCCAATCAGGGAAAGACTGAAAAGAACGGATTGCTTTCATGGGGTTGCGAAAGAAAGCAACATGACAGCATGGCTAAGAATTGTCAAGTTACATCTAAACAATCCACAAGACGTCTGGACCAATGCCCTTTGGACAGATGAGACCAAAGGAAAGAGGTTTTTGTGCAAAAACAGTCACAAACAACTCACATCAGCTGTTGGAAGGCTGATGATTTGGGCTTATTTTGTAGCCATAGGTCCTAGGTCATTTGTAGTCACTGAAATAGTCATTGTTGATCCGTTACTGCTTTGTTAGATAAATAATAAGGTGGCATAAGATGGTATGTGTTACCGAAGGATGACATTTCAGTCTGTTCTGGATTATCAGATGTAAGAATTAAGTCAAAGATGTACTTTATTTTTCAAAACTACATATTTCAGTCTGACTCTGATAAGCTTTCGGGGATCTTTATCAAGCCCCACCTTCTCACAGCCGTTTGCAAACCGGTGAGTGAAAATGCTAAAACTTTGCCCATACTGTCTATATTCAAACCATTCATAACAACCACTTCTAAAAAATAAAAAAAAGAGGAACATGTTTTGTGCAATAAAGCCCATCTGAACTCCTGTTCAGTGTAAATGCTGAGTCACAACTGAAGTTTCCTGGCTGTAAGGAGTGAATACCTCCTCCATCCTTATCTAAAGCACATTAGGATGATTCCTTTGCCCTTAAATGGTGACTGGACAGAATTTACGTTGCCTTTTCCAGTCTTCTTGATCACTCAAAGTAGTTCTGGTATGCAAGCCATATTAATTAATTCACCAACAAATAATTTTTTATTGGAATAATTTTGTTTTGCTTTCAATATACCACGTTGATTGAATCAACAAGGCCGCGCAAGGTTGGGTGTCGAGAGTCTGGAACTCCGCACACATGGGTTTCAGTCTACCCTAAATGCTCTTGACCTTTCAGTAAAAAAGCACAGACTGTAAACTGGCAGCTCGTCCAACAACATCGCAGTGACGGTACACAGTTGCAACAGGTCATGATAAGATTTAATGCCTGGTCAAGGCAGCCTGACTTAAAGAGATCCAGGCCATTAAAGAACAGCAGGGCATACCTGAACAGAAAGGCCGTCTATCTTAGTCAAAGCAGAATGGAGCCATATGTTCTCACAGGCCACTGCCTCGTTCGAGCGAACGTTTCTCCTCTCCCCGTTTCATACCTCACTCTCTCCACGGCCTTCACAAGCTCGGTGTGCCTGAGCCGCACCATAAGGAGCCGTATAAAGCTGTCAGGCCGTTTAGCTCCAGCTCTTAAGCATGAAGGTGATAGATTCAGGGGACTATAGTAAAAACAACCAGCCGAGCCTCCTCCTCTGCTCCTCCAATGCCGACGCTGTTTATCCTGGCAGCTGTGCCCACCTCTGTCTGAACACCCTGGCGTTCCACTCTCTAAGAGCCAGAGGCACTGCAGGACAGAGCCAGGGTAAACACATGACCTCAGCCCCTATATGGCCCTGAACCAGCCCAGTGGCCACAATCGCCAGCGCCGGTGGGACCAGTGATCGCTCCGAAAAGGGGGTATCCTGACGGAATCGACGGAGGAGATTCTGGAGACAGTTGGAAGACGTTAGATGACGCTTGCTTCCAACTGTCTGTCCCCACCTGAATGCATTCACGGTTAGCCTGTGTGAGATTGTGCTCACAAGCCATGTCAGTTGTCGACGAAAAAAACTTTTCTCGCGGGTGCCGTCCCACCACGTTTAAGAAAGAAGATGTCAACATGTGGCTTTTGCTAATCCAACAATCTAAAGACACTGAACATCTCAATTCCCTGGTCTCAAACAAGACCGGGTCAGAACTGCATAACAAGAAAAAAAGAGTATATATATATATGATACACAAAGCGTTGGGCTTTGTGTACAGTATAGTTGCCTGTTACTGAGCAGATAGTGATCTTTCTCTTTTGATTGCAATACTAGTTGGTAAGAGGTGGATTTGTTTTTAATTTTTTGTTTGACAGTGCTGTGTAGATCCAATGTTCTGATACCGTGAGGATGTGTAATTGATTCAAGTTGAGGTTTCAGAGTGGACATGTTCCAGCCATAATGCCAACAGTTTTTATCACCAATGATGCACCTTCTCGCGTAGATTTCACGATCACTAATGCTGACAATTCTAGAACGACATCTGTTCGTGTATGTGTGCACGTGTTAATAGATTACACAATAAGCAAACTACAGGGATCAAGGCCAGAGCCGGGGTTAGTCAGAGCATTAGTTTGCCTTACGGAACAAATTTGTCCCTTGCCTTGTCCCTTGGTTGCCACTTGTCGTTGAGGTACCTGTAAAAGGAAAAAAACAAAACAAGGATTAAGCTCGTAAGATGTGGATGTCTTGCTCATTTAGCATCTTTTAGGATAACTATTTAAAATGTTGTGATTAGGAGCATGGTAAGAATTGTGTCAAAGTACTTCATACATTTATCTAACACACTTATTCAGCTGTAGGGTTTGAGTAAAACACAGAATCTTGCCAGCACATCATTTTGTCACTTGAAATTTCTCCTGACTTGGACTTTTACCTTGGCTCTAAAGAACTATTACCTAAACCTTGGATTTCCATCTATTTCTGATGACTTTTTTTTCACATTTTTGATCATTCATTCATTATACCTCTATGACCTGGCTGCTGGTTCAAGACATGCTCAGTTTAATCAGTTAAACAGAAACTCTTCATCTGTCTAGATTAATGAGACAACGCCAAATGCAGATTTTCCCAGCTGGTCTAGCCTTCATGTCGGGGTCCTGACCTCATTAAAAGACCCCACTAACCTACTCTCAACCGCTCTCTTCCTCAGTTCTTCGGAAGCTTCCTCTCTTACCCTCCTTGCTGACGCCCAGACAGCCCTTCAGCTCCTGCAGGGAAATAGCTTTGTCCTTATTCAGGTCACAGTAGTCGGTGAACTTGCGGGCGCATTTCTTAGGTTTGGCTTTCTTCTTCAGGTACCTCTTGAAAGGCTTTAATTCCTTCTTGTTGATATCGTGGCTACCGTTGTTATCCAGCTGGGCAAAGTACCAGTGCACCACTCTCTCCTCCAAAGTGTGACTGGGGTCAGGCTCAACAAACCTGGTGAGGGTCACAAGAACAATGACTAAGGATATGACTAAAAAACAATTAAGCTTCTTATTCCTCAGAGGCTAAATCAGATGTAAAAAACTATCACTTATAAATATCATATCGTAGTAAATATTAGAATAAAGTAAGCATTACTTAAATCATACATAGACTGCTGTATATAGTCAAAATTGATCAGATAATAATTCTCAACTATGCCTGGCATACTTCTATTTAAAGAGAATTACAAAATTCTGTGCTCATTTTTTAGAATTATGATTAGATTTCTTTCTCTGCTTTGCAAAATTTATTCAAGCTTCAGTCCCATCCGTATACAGTATTAGTCTTGAGGGGAAATAGGCCATAAAGGGGATCAAGCAAACAATCCATGCACCGCACATCAGTCTGAAGTTCGGAGACGTTTGCTCTTACCTCCCACCACCAGAGGGGGCTGGTGAGTTTATGGCTTGCACCATATCTGTGGTGAGGGCATCTAATAAGCTTGTAATGAATTCCACTTTCTTCCCCTCTGGGCAGCCTGGTACGAATCAAAGAGGAGGGAAGAAAAAAAAAGAACACCAAAATTACCGTCCTCAAGTAATTTGGGCCATTACGTGAGGGCGAAGTCGAAGTGCTTCTAAATCTCGACACCAGTGAAGCAGCATGACAGATCTCAGACAGAGAGTGCCTGTTGTGTGCTTAAAAAACACATGCAATCCCTTTCCAGGGGCTGAAAACAAAGTGTATCTGTTACATGGCTGACAACCAAGTGCAGGTGAATTATTACCGCACGGACGTATTTTGAGGGCGGCCGATAGTTTGGCTGTTTTTTTGTTTTTTTGCATGAGAAAAACAGATCAGAGGCACATGGCGTGAGGTTGGGCAGAAGTGTGCTGTCATGAGAGAGCTTTGTAGAGCAGCGCAGACCCGTTAACTTTTATGACACAATTCTGAACACCTTGGGTAGCTCTTTTTAATTGCCCAGATGTACAGGTTTAATGGCATGCTAAACCAGTGCAAATTTTTCCCTCCTAATTGTGTCTCTTAAAAGGGAAACTTCAAACGCAGCTGCGTAGTAAACTAATCTTCTCATTCTGTTTTTTTCCTCTCTTTCTCTCAAGCTTTCCCAGTCAATTCCTTCCTCCTCGCCTTCCTCCTCCTCATCTGAGCGTTTGTGGCCTCTCTGTCCTCTGCACTCTTGCTTTCTTTCCATTTGTGCTGGCCCACATTGTTCTGTGGAAGGTGGTCCGCTGCCCCATTAGGTGAATCCAATTACCCTGTCCTCCAACAGGGCAAGTTTGAAGAGGAACCACCTTGCTGTGCCTTAATCCAGGTGTTAAATTGGGGTGTTTGAGCTAACCGTTGGGTTGTACAGAGATTAAGTGGCAAAGCGTTGAGGATCTCTGGAGGCATCGTTCCGGCTTTGCTGTTGTTAATGTTGTGAAGAAGGCAAAACCCAGTAAAGTTGCAATATAAAAAGGGTTTAAATGATCCTTTTTCATTGCGTGGAGCGGTGTGGAATATACATGTGCGGTCATTGTCCTGCCTGAAGTAGGCAGCCTTCAGAGGCAGCTCTCAGTTTTGAGAACTGCATCCCTACATCTGTTTTAGTGGAAGCGAGCGAGTTTAAGGTCACTTGCGTTGGCATTTTCCGCACCGCTCACCACATGATGGTAAAATGTACACCAAAGTCTCCAAAACTGAGAGTGCTCTCACTGTTGTGAGTTGTATGTAGGAAAATGAAAAGACAAAACAGCATTCCTTCAAATGTAAATGTAATGCAGTGCTAGGTGTGCCTGTGTGGCAGAATTAATACTTCTTAGATCTATTGTTCCTCTTAAACCATCTTAAACCAAAGAGATGTTTGGCAAGGGTCCAACAATCCTCTTTCCTTTGGCCTACGTATTCACTATTTATTATTCACTATTTAGTCACTGTTTAAAAGAAGAATCTTAAGATACCCCTCACAAATTCATCATTTTTGACACTTTGTGTACATTGAGATTGTAACTGTAGATGCCTGCCATTAATAGACTGCCCTCTTAAGCATTCTTCACTCCACCGCCTTGATGCGATGGCCATGAAATCCAGAGCTTTGTTGTGGCGGTTCAGAACATCCTCCTACAGTACATAAAAATATCTTCGACGCCCCCGGTGCCCCACAGCCTCCCAGCCGCACCTCTCAACACTCACACCTTCCATAAAACATGCCACACATCTGCTTCACAGTCAGGAGTATGGTTGACTCTGTAAACTCGCCAGATGGGGAATTAAATAAGAGTTACAATGCCTCCTTAAATGATGGGGAAACGGCGGGGAAACAAAACTAAGTGAGCAGTAACAACGACATACAAGTGGATTCAGTTCAGAGGAGAACTCCGTTCAGCTGCGATAGACGTTCTGTGTTTTCGCTTTTTTACGGACTACCTCCTTTTCACAAGGGTTCATCAGTAAGCAAGTAGCAAAGCCTCCTATTTATAGGCCAGACTCAAATAGCCATTCAACACAGAGCTCGCACAGTATACATAGTTAATATCATATCATTGATGAAGCCAACCAAACCTTTGCTATTGCTATGTCTTAATATTATTTTGCCGGTGAATGCGGGTGACATTATTGTTAATAAAGCGACAGGAAAGGCATTAGATTTGTTTTCTCCTTTCTTGTTGTACTACTGACAAACTACCTGCACTTTTGCGAGAAGAGCTAGTCTGAAAACTTCTTCTAAATAAGTTAAATTATTAAACCGGACATTTGTTTCTAAAAAAACAATAGAATAAATTTGATTTCTGACCACTGCAGCCCAGAGCGAATTGAAGAGCGGAGAAAAGGGGAGTAAACCTGTCAGGTCTCTGTCATGAAAGGGGTCTTCCGTGTCTGTGATGCGTGATCGTGCACTCCCGTCACACTCTGGCGTCTTGTACCTGTTGCAAATAAGAAAAGCATGGCGGCATGAGACAGAAAGCTGGAAGGGAAAAGGAGGATCATGTCTGAGAGATTAAAGATGAGCGTTTTGCATGTTGACAAATTTGTACAGTCCCGGACTATAAAAGATGTCAAAGATACGAAGTTAAAACATTACAACAATCCTTCAAATCCAGTATGCAATTTAACATTCTGCCCTTATTCTTTTCCGTGGAAGGAAATATTAAAGGCTATGAACTTTTCACTCATAAACGCCAACTGTATAACAAAAGAACAACTTGACGAGCACAACTCAACAACAAACTGTCTGGCATTAGCTGGCATTTATCCTTTTCCCCTGGCTTTTGTATCTGTGGTTCTCCAAATGAAATGGAAAACAGAGCATGTGTGTCTCATTTGTTTTTTTCTTTTCTTTTTAAAGTAAAAGAAAGTCATAATTTCTTCTTTCACAATCTGAAAAGCCCCGGGTCCAAGATGGGATGTCTGGTGCATGACTCGGCATTACTGCCCAGAGGAGAGAAAACTGGGACGAGACAAAGTGGAACACATTTTTATGTGATGAAATAATCCCCTTCCTATTTTCATTTGATATCCTAGAAATGCAGGAGCGAATTTTGCCAGTAAGTTCGGCTAAAATGTGTGGGATCAACTTTTGGTCGACAATTATTTTCATTTGGGCTTGTAAAATAAGCACTGGCATGTTGGTGACTTCAAATGTGACGTGTTGTGTATTCTAGCTTGAATACAAATGTTTTTGTTTGGAGAATTCTCTATTTCATCCGGTTAAACACAAACCAACAAGTTCAGAATAAAGGGGATTTCATCGATTTATCAATGCATGCTTACAATTTTTCATGCATCTCTTTTTCTACCTCAGTGTCTCTAGTGTAACATTCACGTTCTAAACAGAAATCAAACAAAAGCTTCTTCACCCAATCAAAACATCAGTGGTGGTCGTCATTACCTAACATAGTTTTTTGGTTTGGATGTCCTTCTGACATTAGGCTTAATTTTTTTTTTAGATGTCCCCACAATTTCCCGAAAGCAAAGTAAACAGAAGCAGCTGAACTCAAAACAAAAATTCTTCTGGAAGCCGAGTGTTTATAACTAAGTATTCGATACTCTCATCTGTGATAAAAAATTAAATAAAATAAAAACGATGAGTCTGTCTAGTGCACTAGTTAGAGTCGCCCACCTCTGAAAGTAGAGGTGTGACTCGATGGCCTGCTGTTTTTCTGTTCGATTTTTCCATTAAATTTGGTGCAGATATATTTGTCGCCCAAAGGAAAGAATGTTATTGGGCTTGGCAATCCGTCAACTTTCCTGTTTTGTTCAAACGAGGTCCGCGTTTGTGGTTTGAATGGAGGCATCTCTTGGTTGGAGAGCACTTGTATTTGGAACGAATGGAAGCAGTGTGTCTCAGGACCGGTTCAAAGTGCTGTGTTTTTATCTTATAATTAGCTTAATATTGGACTTTGCATAACCTTTTTTTAAATAACAACAACTATGATTAGATATCACAGAGAAAACCCAAGGGAATATTAATCAGTTAATATAAAATGCTGTTGTTAACCAATGTAGCTTTACTGTTGATGCTGAAATTGGGTTAATATAGACTCTAATATAGACTATTTCACAGCTTGTGTAAAATTTATGAACTACATAAGTCATCTGTAAGCATATGTATATGAGTTAATAGCAACCAAGAGCTGTCTATCAACTAAACTATTATACATAGTGCCACATCGTGCTATACCATGTGTTACTGTTTATCTTAGGTTGTATGAGGCCTGACAATGAATAGTTAGTTATTTTTCTGCCCGTGTCCTGCCAGGGTCATCCATGATAAACGGCATTACCGTGTGGAGGTTCCAGGAATGGGCCGCCCCGTGTCCACCAGAACACACCAGCAGTAGCCTGTGGACTGGTGGCACTGGACTGCTTTATAAAGGCCTCCTGGCCCACAGTCCGGGATGAAGATGTCCTCGCGAGGACTCTGCCGGGCCTCGTCCAGGGCGTTCTGTTTCTCCTGGTCGCAAGAGGGCACTTTCTCTAAAATCAGGGGCAAACACACTCCATGAAGTTAGACAGGGCTGGGCTAATTTTAAACAAGCTTTAATGCGATTCAAATCTGTGTACAGAGAGTGAATTGGGGAGGATCGAGTGGCTGATTAGCAGCTAAACAAAATGTCTCCAAAATGTGTTTACAGCACGCTTCCAAGTGTAGATCACTGTTTACCGTCAGTTTACCTTTGGCTATTCTTTGAGCACTTTGACTTCAGTATAAAACACAACAACCATTGTCCCACTGCCAGCCCCTCCTTAGCTCGCATTAGGACATCTTTACCCACCACCATCATGCATAGCTTTCTGTCCAACAACAACGCCTTGTGTCGGTACGCTGTATTTACATTCACATCCATTTAGCCCATTGCTCTCTCTTAAGCCAAATAAAACAGAGCTGTGTGCTCAGTTGAAGTGTGCTCATACCACTTGCAAACCATTTTTCTAGTTACATTCAACTAGAGTGCTATGAAGACATAAGCAATACCAGCAGAGCCAAACTGGCTGTTGGGAGCCCTACTGCCTCAATGTTCTGACATTGGTGGGGTCTTTCACCCTGTGGAACATCTCTGGAACAAGCAACTGTCGATGGAGAAGTGGTTGAAATCTTCGCTTAAGACTTGATAAGACCGACGAAAAATTTGTCGCCTGCTTTTGCAGTTTCCTTTGTGTCTACGGAAATTTGAAGCTGGAAACAGTCGGGAGTGTTCTGAAACAGGCAAACCGTCCCGAGTCAAAAGGTGCCACAGCCATGGGTTGACTGTGAAGAGGACCGTGGAGTTAACCATTCTACCCCTTTGATCGCCCCACAAAACCGAGGCTGAATTATTCCTAAACACGTTCCATCATGTCGGATTTATGAGCATCTTAGTGATGACGTGTAATTCGATCATAGCTCTGTTTTCATTGTGAAAGACTGGCTCTGCTTAAACTGCCTTCGAGCAAATTGCTTTTATTTACAGGCTTTCCCTTGGAAAATCCCCTTGGCATATCCCTAATGTCAAAGTAACCATTGGCTGGAGACGTGGCATTTGTTTGGCACGTCTGCAACTTGCTGCAATATGTAACAACTTACAGCTACTTGGAGTATCTCATTTTTCAGAGAAGCGTTATAGTGGATGGGGTGTGAATATTTGGAATTCATCCACCCCAATGAGAGTGATGGGCTCAGCCTGGCTTCCCAGGCCAGGCTTTACTGGATTTTATCCCACTCCGGCACCCTCCCGAGACACAGAGATTGGAAAACTCTGGCAAAGATTGCCATTGTAGCTTTATCAAAACTGCGGATTAGAGCGAAGGACAATGATTTCGAGAACACATCTGCCAAATGTGTTGCAAGATAAATGTGTTGCTCACGAACCCATGCTAGCGCCGTTTAACATAGTTCTTTTGGTCTTACTTTGTGTATTTTTATCCACCTACCTCTGGTCCGCTCAAATTTACGTTTGGTCTTTATCTCTACTTACTATTGACGAAAAGTCCCAGATTTGCTTTGCTATGCTAACACGCTTTTCTTCGTCGGTTTTGGTCGCGATATGACCACTTCACTCTGCCATAGCTACCACAATGCAAGACTGGTTTCTTTGGACAGAGAAACCAAAGCAAAAAAATATATATATATATATCATCCTTCATGGGAAAGTTAATAAAGCTGGAGATGATGGTGTAGCAGAGGGCCTGAGAGCAACTAAGCAGAGTGGAAGGTCACATTTCCTGAGCATGGCTGCCAACAGCACATCATCCATGCCACTGCATCAAAGAACCTTTCTCCTCCTGCGAAGACTCACACTCCAGAGTTCTTCACGTAGTTTGCGCCAAGGTTCTCTCACGTCCAAATTATTTAGCAATGTTTATTATACAGAGGTTATGCCGGCGCCAGGCACCAAGATCCCCGAAAGAAAATAGTTTTTGTACATATGAATGGAAAAAGGCTGGACGCTCGCTGTCCTGTCAGTTATTGGATCTTTTGTGGTGGTGAAATTCAATCCGCGTCCTGTCTGCCTGCCTTGAATATCTGCATTTCTGCTCTATTTATTTTTTGTTTTTGTTTCCTTTTCGGTTTTATTTCTCTTCCCCCCGGCAGGAACTGAAAGAAGAGAATCACAAACTCTCAGAAAACAAATAATGTTTTTTGTAAAAAGAAATCAAAATGAAGAATAGACAGCCACACAAGTGGAAGTCTCCAAGAGCTGTTGAGCTGATTTTCCCTAATGGCGACCCGATAACGGGCAAAAGACGACCGAGCGGAGAATGTCTGATGAGAGCAGGTTGTCCAGTTATAGGCATTCCACTCTCACCATCATTATCCACACTCGGAGCCACGTGGACCACATTTTTTTCATCTTTTTTTTTCCTCACGCCTTTTACTTCATCTGTCCCTTCCTCTTTAGTTATCCACCTTTCTTCCCTTCACTTTCTTCTTCTGTTCCCTTCCTCCCTCCATCCTAATTCCACTCTCTTTAAAACTGCACCACCCCCCATCACACTGCACTCTCTCCTCTTCACTTCACCCCAATGGCTTTCAGCTGTGGAGTAATCGCTGCAATATTGTTCCTTGCGAGCCTTCTCTGCAGTTAAAATAGCTCAAATGTGGAGGGGAGGGGAGTGGGGAGGGGGGGGGTTGTGTGTGTTTGTTTGTTTTAAACGCACTTAGCATGACAACAGAACCAGAGGCGTGATTAACTTTTGAAATCTTCCAAAATTTCAGCCGTTCTCTCGACACAGTTGTAACCTCTCGGCGGATGATTTATTGGACTCCGTCCGTGTGTTCACTTAATGCGTCACGCTGGGCATGAAAACAGGTCCAAGATGAAAATAAGCTTCTTTTTATTTTTGTCAGATGGTGAATGTTTAGACAGAATCGAGCCCTGAGATGACACGATCCCGTTATCCCCCCCCCCCAGTCGGCATTCCGGTTTCTTTTTTATTTGCCTCTCTGCAAGGGAGGATCTGCGCCATGTGAGTTTTTGCTTTTGCGCACACGCTCTAAAATGAGCTGCACGACAGCGCGTTTCCCCTCTCATGTGTAAAATGTGGACACGAGCGTGCCACGGTCTGGCAAGGGAGCACCCGTTTGAAAAAGAAGTCGACCTTGCGTTTTGCGTTGCCCAAGCAAACAGGTTTCGCTTACAGTCTCCACATCGCTCTCAATCATAATTATGGCCTATCCAGAGCGAGCCAGTAAATGAATTATGTCACTTTTGTCCGTGCGCGAGCAGCGTGCCGAGAGCTCTCAGGTCTTTTATGCTTTTCAGCAGGAGTTTCTGACAAAAAGTGCTCTGTGTAATCAGATAATCTCTTCAGCCGACTGCTAACAGGCTCAGACCTTCCCTGGAGTTGGGCCTCAAGCCCTGGCAGGATGAAGCAAACTCCCAGCCCAATAACACAGGTCACACACACAGACACACACACACCAATGATGGAAGAGGTATTGGCATTTTTAACTCCCTCAAAAAGTCAACTCTTTTACAAGATGTTCTCCATTTAAAGGTTTGTCTAAGTAATGGATTCGCGCAAAGCTAAGGCAACGACTACGGCATTTTTTCTGAGCAAATTCATAGTAAGATATCCGAGGACGCATTATTCTCTTTGAATGAAGTTGACAAAGTGTTGCTAACGTACATAAATGGCTGCCTCACAACTGGCAACTAGCTGAATGAGAGTGAATATCAAAATTCAAACACAGTCAAAAAACAAATCCATCCTCTTTCAATTCTGAGGGTTTTGGGTATATCGCATGAGCTAGTCAAGAGATGTTTATTGTGGGGTGCTGACTAGGAGCTGAATAAGATCCCAGTACAGAATTTCAATCAGGTTGAGGTCTGGACTTGAACAGGAGCGTTGCATTAGAACACTGTGTTTTTTTTTTGCTAGTTTTTTTTAAACTTTTCATTTCTGATCTGCTGCTGGACATGAGGTGGTGTTTATGTTTGATTCTGTTTATGCATTTACCAGACGCTTTTATCCAAAGCTACTTACAATGCGTCTGTGCTGAGGTGTGGCCCACGTTCAACAATGCTTCGTGTGTTGGACACATGGCCTCGCGTTTGATTCTTTAACGGTGGTCAGATCAATGGCCACAGGGTGGCTTCAAAACAGCCTTCCATCACTTTGCTTCACAGCTGGCATATGGTGTTTGTGGCCATATGCTACGTTTGGTTGGATATGCAGTTAACACAATGTTTAGGAAATTGTAAATCTCAATTTTTGTCTCGTCCGTCTAATAATCTGATAATCTGACTTTCCTTAATTCTATGGTTTATTGATATGTAACTCTTCCAACGAAAGTCATACTTGTCCAGACTTTTTCTAATTGTGCTTTTATTATGCAAACTAAGGCTTGTTTTACTGGGATCTCAATTTATGACATTTAAAAATGTGCTAATGATCAAATAATATTTCTTTAATCTAAAAAAAAATTATTACGTGATGTATCAAATCTCAGATTTAAAAGATAAGACTGTCTGATACTCTTTCTAAAAGAATTTTGAATTTAAAATGTGAAAATTTGAAAAATAGTGTATTTTCTCTTGACTTTTGCTACATGCTGTGGCTAAAAGCAATATGCATGCCACCTGACTGCAACACACATGGTACACACACCCTCAAACACACCTACACACACATAGACAATACACAGTGACATGCACATGCAGATTTATGTATCAAATGTGGTGGCTACTCCCCCGAGCGAGCCTTGTTCTTTGTCCTTTGAGGAGCAACAGATGATAATTGGAAACAGGAAGCTGGCATTTCCACATAGTTTTCAAGAGCTGTCACAGCAAATGTCTTTCCGTCCACATACGGGCCTCATGGTTGCTCAGACCACGGTGTCCCAGATTATTTCATTATTGAAAATATGATAGGGTTTTAAATGTTAATTTACTCTTTTAGATTTCGCTCGAAATCCCTTCTTGAAATCGGTCAAAATCTCATTAAAACGTGATTGATGATTATTTTAAGCTCTATCATTTCCCTGTCCGTCTGCCTGTCTTTTACCCATGTTCGCATACGCATTATTCTGCGTTAAATGTTGTAAAATGTGGAGGCGGACTTGAGAGCAGAAAAAAAAATATAGGTAAAATTGCAGTATATTGCGAAGAGAGGATGAATAAAACGGTTCTGGAGGTTCTGCTGAAAAGCAAACTTTACTCCCATAAAGAAGCCATCCATCCCACATTTCTATCCAACCCCAATAGGAACAAGGCTCACAACCCCCCCCCATCCCCCCCCAGTCCCTCCTTGAGTCGGTACAGAAGCGTGAAAGCCGTCCAGCTGCCCAGAGGGTAGTGAACATGTCGAGTAGTAATTGAAAAGGAGACAGGGAAAGCTAAACAAATTACACTGAAGGAAAGAAAACATAGTAACATAATATCGTCAGAGTGGGGCTCTCATCAAGCGGGGAAAGGTTTTACATTTAATCTTAAACCAGAGGCTTCGAAACCGGTTACAAAAGAGTAAAAAGAGTGGTTCAAATAACACCTCTGATGTAATTACTCAGAAAATGTCCTCAGCTACCCCTGCTTCCGTTACACAGGGCGAGGGAATGAGAAATGCTCGCGGCTATTTAACGGCAAAAAAACATTGACCTGCATAGTCGACATAGTCAACATTTTGTTGTGATCATCTTTCACCCGAACCAACTTAGACAAGCTTTCTTTTCATGTCTGTAAGTATTCTCCAGGAATACGTCTCCAGGCTTCTCGAAGGCCATCCAAAAGCGCTTCCTTTGGATGCTGGCAGCTTTTGTAAAGTATTTTCTCTATCAAGATGATCGCACACTGCTCCGGGTAATCTTAAGGTCTGGGCTCTGGGGGACGCTTCATCCCCTCCATATAACCTGTTTTCCCTTTTCTTTTTTTTGTTGTTTTGCTGATTTTCAGCATAGTTTATACTTTTTCTTCCTGTATTACTTCATTTAGAGTAGCTTCTTAACAGCCAACTCAATGTCCACATGAATGTTTCAGGTCCCGTGTTAAGTTTGCCTTAAACGTTTTTTTAAAAAAAACAAATTTTAAGGGGAGGCTGAGAGATGCCAAATCTTCCGCTAATAATTTAAAAACTTCGTCATCAAAGAAAAAAATACAGTTTTAAGAAACAAACATATATGGCTTCCTGTCAAGCCTTTATGAAAATGGCCAGTCACCATTCAGACTGACTTCTTTGCAAGTTATTTGTAGACAACAGACTAGTTCATGTCTTTAGGTGCATCTTTAAATTAATTATTTAACGGTCATTAGACCTTTTTCAAAGTAGAATTCAAGCACTGTTAAAATGTTACAGTTCAGCATGTCCGTGACGATGCACCTACTCAAACAATGAATTTAGAATGAACAAATCTCTCTATCATCAAATGAAATCACAAGTTACTGAGTAATAAGTAATAAAGACCCATAACTATGCTTTGTGATGTCATGCGTGAAGAATTGTTTATAGGGGCCGTTAGAAATTCTTGCATAAAGTACGGCTGCTTGAAAAACACAAACTTTGGGGTCGCTCACAGCCGCTTCTGTTTTCATATTAATATCAAATGTGGCTCATTCTTCACTCAACCCTGTAGCCGTTCAAACCGAGAGGGGAAAGGGGGTACAGTCAAGAACGTGAAGTTTTATTTAACTTTGTACCTTCAGTGTCAAGGGTGCGTTTCATTCTCTCACCTTGCTTTCTGGCCGTGGAGCTGTTCTGCTTGTTCTCCTTGTAAACCAGGTGTTTAATCCATAACGTTGGAGCAGTTATCTCTGCAGTAACCGAAAGACAACAGCCTAGATCAACATCTTTGACCAATTTAGGGTGAATGTCACAAGAGAATGTCAGTGCTTGAATATTTTATCAAACGTCACAGCCACCTTTCGCCCCAAAGTAGCATCCAAGACTTAAAAAAATATTAAAAATCAACTATAGCATGTGGTATTTTTGACATCTGTTTTTTTTTTTTTTTTTACACTCAATGGAATGGTGCATTTTTATGAAATTGGATCTTAGGTTTGGATATTAGATTCATGGCAGACTGCAGCTTCAGTGAAGTGCTGGAATAAACTGAGCATAGCTCCAGTACTCGAAGGAGCAATGCGGCGAGCTGCCTTTGAACCCACGAGAGCCATTACAAATACGCGGTATGCACATTGGCTCTGTGAGCAGCCATCCCAACAAACTGTGCAGCAGGTGGAGAGCACTTACCGTCACCCTCGGGGGGGATGTGGGTCTCCATGGTGGGCGTGGGCTTGGAGCCGTCGTCTGGGTTGAGGGTGAGAAAGAAACGGAAAGAGACTACCATTATTGAGGTTAATACAATCTACTCTCCAGAACTGTTGAATGGTTGGGATTTGCACATGGCCCGGCCAAGTGAAACAGACAGAAAAATAGACAGGTAGACAGATGGAATAACAGAAAAAAAACACAGGACGTCCACCCACATGTGCAACAGCAAGGCACTCCCACACCTACATGACCAGGCTGCCCGTGATGGCGTCCACCTCGCAATCGCACCGAACCCGACCGGTCGCCTTGCAGGTGTGACTTACAACTGCCGTGATTCCTGAACTGGTTTTCGGAATAAACCCAGTTATACCTGAACAAGAGCCCAGACTCCATTACATCCAGGCTCTGCTATAGTAAATGTCTGCAGAGTAAGCTAAATGATGGCCTCGCCATAAGCTGACGAACTGGACATTGGATCTTATACAGCTGAAAGTCTACCACCTGACCTTTTCCAGAACTTTCCTTAAGGCAGCTGACTTTGGTGGATTTTAAATCCGACTCTGGACGTTTAAATGTCTCTTTCATAGACGCTAGCCTAAAACCCAAAGCAGATTTGGGTTATTTGACGATCTCGCGGTGTCCTGTTGATAAATGACCAAAAGAGCAGAAACAAGCCCGCAGTCTTCCCGAGTCACTTCACAAACTCATAAACAGCTTGATTTTATCCGAAAGACCGGTGCATTTCCAATCATTCATCAAAGAGGGCAGCAGAGGTAAAGCAGTAACATCTTTAAGGTCCCTTTTTTTCCAAGCTTCTCACAGGAAGCCATGAGAAGAGCAACCATCTGACCTAGGTTTCATACTCAGCGAACAGTGTCTCTGCTGCTCGGCCATTTAAAAAATAAACGGCCGGGTTTGCCACTGAGTTTATATGTCCATAATAACTTAGCCACCTATGCCTGGCACATGGAATGTGGGATGTTACTTTGAACTTTTCTAGAACTTCTATATTTCTGTCATTCTCTGGTTTGCAATTCACGCACACCGGGAGAAAAAGCCACAAACGACACCGCAACCCAAATAAGGTCAAAAACAAGCCTAGAGACACAAGACTTTCCGTCTTCCATGCAGTTCATGCATCTTTTGTGAAAAGCATCTGATTTTCTTTCTTTTTTTTCCCCTTTGCAGAGTGGGACTTTGCGGCCCCGATCATTATTTGTTGATGTTCGCTCATTATATCTCAGACACAGCAGTGAGTTTTGAGGTGTGAGAGGAGAGTCTGAGGAGCTGTTCAGATGGGATTTAGGTGGAACTCATCGGCATATTAATACATCTCCGCTCACTGGAATGAGGAAGAACTAGGAGAGTCATGCCTCATGCAATACTTAGTCCATTTGAGTTTTCGCCATGGCAAAACTTTCTGTATAACAGATGACTTGTAAGGACTAAAGCAGGACTTTAACAATATACAGCTTCCCACTTTGTTTTAACATCTATCCACGGCTGTAATACCATGACAGCAAGGTGTCTGCTCTCTTTTACCTGTGTCAGAGACAAAAACAAAATCTGTAGTGAATAGTAAAGCCTATCTTGTGACAAAGTCGACTTCATTAATATTTTCAGTCTTTTGTTGTTGTTTTTATTCATTAATTTACGGGTAATTCAATATTCAGACAAGCTGAAAGAGTCAATGTCTAAGAAGTGATGGATGTTATCTAATGCTGTGGGTTCAGCTGCCTAGGATACTCACCAGTGTGCAGCTTTGGAGCATCTGGAACATTCCTTGAGAAATAATTCGGTCAAAAGCAAACAACAGAAAAACTGATTGGAGGTCATTCAACAGACAGTATAGTCGAATCCTTGAATCAGATCACATGTCAGATTATTGAAAACATTTTGAGGGTTAAAATGACCTGTTTTGATTAAACTGTACATAAAAAGATTTTCTTGTAATATCAAAATGACCGTTGTCCAAATTTTCCCTTTTTATCTTAATCTCTTGAGTCAGTAACACTAATAACTTACTGGCCTTGCTATTAATCCAAGCCTGCACAGTGTGCGGTAAATTATGACTATTGAAAACACACTAAATCAAGCAGCAACTTGCTGACTCGTGCCTTAAGTAGTCCTTTTCTGCACTGGCTTTAACCAATAGTATAAACAAGAATGTCACAAGCAATCAAAATAATTACTACAGAATAACCTTAAGACTAATATATGGATATATGTACTAATATATTCTTGGATCAGGGTCAATGTTTTCTACTAATTGAAAACTGTGAAGCATATTCCCTGTGAAATTTCAGAAGTAGTGCTTCAGTAAAAAAAAAATGTTACCACTGTACCTTATTCGAAGATTTGAGATGTACGGAGGATGAAGGGCACATTTAGAAATAAGATTATCAAAACATGTACCAGTATTTTGTCCTTTTTAAATTCAGATCTGTCAGTGATCCCCATCTTTAAATCTGTCACCGCACAACCTGAATTTGTTCATTTAGAAGAAGCTCAGTTCGTGAGCAAACATGCAAAAAAGGAAAAAAAGGGAACAAAAACAGCCCCTGGAGTGGTACTTTTGAATTGTGCAAATATGGACTATGCACATGTCAAATGGAGCCAAATCGTGTCAGAAGAAATTGTCACGTCCCTTGCTCTCTCTTTACCCCTTTCATACAAACAGAGGAACTCCCACACATGCACACACAACATACAACAGATCTCAACTCACCTTTTCGACCAGAGTTCGGTGGCCCGGGTGGTTTATCAGTCACTGACCCTTCAAAAATCAAACAAAAACAAACAAAGCAAAGAATTAGGTGTTCCAGCATCCAATACATATTTGGGATTTTCCTCCTTCTTATTTTAGAAATGCTTACACTAAACTGCTATACTGGCACTACATTTCTTTTGCCATTGCGGTCTTTTTAGTTAGGTTTTGACACAGACACTCCCAGACACTGGCCAGCTCACAGAAGTCTTGCTGCAAATAGAATAATTTCATACACATGTTTATCCTGGTCACATATTGACTAAACGCATAGCTGAATTAATCTGTTCACTTGATGGAAAATCATCATTAACAAAAAATGAAGTTCCAAATCCAAAATTGTTACATGCAGGTACTTGGTTTCGTGCATTATTGCATTGGGGGGAGAAAACTTACAAGGAATTTACTACATGACAATCCACTCGTCCCAGCATCAGTTGCTATATATATACTGTATATTCACAGTAGTTTCCGGCAAAGGTGTACCCGATGATTGATTTTGGTGATTGTGTACAGGAGCGTGGAACATGTGGGCAGGGGTTATCTAAGAGGGAAGGTTCAAGTGTAGCAGCCCTTTAGCGGTTTACTGTGACCAGATTTTAGTTCCGGTGCTGCACATACCTTTGCAAGGTATGAAACGATGAAGATACTGGATCTAGTGCGGGACAGAAAGGAGACAGGCTGGGCTGTGTTGTAAACTATGTTTTAGGATCTCATTGACTTCATCTTTAGTACGACAACTGACTAGAATCAGTGAGCTTGCGTGGAACAGAGAAAACAGCATAATCTTGTGGCAGCACATCTGTCTTAAAGCCATCTTTTTGAAGTGCTGCCGTTAAAGATCAATTCTTAATTGTATACCCTGGTGTAGACATTATATTATCAATTCTGCTTTTACGTTAGAATTTGTGATGAATCTCACTTTTACACAATCCAACATGACCTTCTCAGTCTGGTGCTGAATGGAAGCTTTCCAGCACATAAAATAGAATAAAATCAAAACAAAGAGCTACATCTCAGACTCTACAGACCTTAGTTAGCATGTTGAATCTCAGAGTTCCTGACAGTATGGTTCGAAAAAGACCGAAGAAGTTTGGATTGTCTGGAAGGGTTACAGGAGATATATCTTTTCTCTAAAAAGAACTTGGCAGCATGCCTTAGGTTTACACAGTCTTATCTGAACAAACCAAAAGTCTTCCACAAGAATGTTCTTTGGACCCTCGGGGCCAAAGTAGAGATTTTTCTTCAAATCTAGCACCGTCTATAAGCACAAACACTTCATACCATCCATCAAGGCCTGTGATGGAGAGCTCAGGCTTTGTGCTTGTTTTGCAGCCACTGAATGCACCGCAAACTCTTGTCGGTAGCAAAGAAAACAAAAGTTGAGTTTCAGGCCGTCTGCTTGACAGATAGACACTGGCAGAAAGTGCTGATAAAAACGTGCCAAGAAGCTATTCCTTAAAAGCGTCGTGTTAGCAAAGTGTTCTGCATTTCGCTTTGGTTGATGGTTCATCTGAGGTTGTACTGAGAGAGTCTGAGGAGATGTTGGCTGGCAAACAGGCTGTGGGGGGGCAACTGAAGTTGTATCTCGCCCCAAACACAACAAAAAGTGTGTCTAAGCTTTAGACAACGACTTGATTGATCTACAAACGACAGCTTGCTCCATGCTTGTGCTAATGTTTTTCCATTCTCCAGTATGAAAGCATACTGCTAGAGTTGCAAAGTATCCTGACTCCCTTTGGCCGATCGGAAACGAAACGGGTGATAAGATGAACGAGTCTGGCGACCAAAGAAAAGAGAAGGAACGGGGGCTTGGGGAGGATACAGAGACAGACAAGACGAAGGAACTTGGGGAGCAAAACAAAGGCGCAACGCAGGGGTTGCGGCCTCGTAGGGGCATGTGACCACTTTCACCACGCTCCACACAAAATTTGCACCATATGCTCCGTGGCCGTGCAATCCAATTTTGGCAAAGACCCCTGTGTATTATCTTCTGAGGGAAAATGATGGTGATTATCATAAAGTGTTCCCATCCAGGATGAGCGTGCACGTGCACAGCCTCGCTGCTTCTCCTCAGGTCTGCTGAGAGCACTTAAAAGTAAGGGGGGGGGGGGCCTGCATGTATCCATTAGCCCTCTCGCTGACCTTACACCTGCTACATACCATACGACAAGCAACACACACACACACACACACCGTATACCGACACCGTTTCCGCCATCCAAGAGCTGTGTTCTCTCTTTATCAGCAGGGCCGTTCTCCCTGATAATCTTGTATATCAGTTCATGCGTAATTTACCTAATCTTAATTTGACCCAAACCGCTCCGAGCTGAAAAAAAAGACCTATTTTTAAACATTACAATGACAAAGATCTAAAATGGAAAGCATTTCCATTTGTTTTTCTCGAGTTCCAGTCCACATCGTTAAGTGACACCGAACCCTACCAGCTTAGTTTTAAACAGACACTAAACAGATCTGAACTCCACCATGCAGAATAAAGTTAACTTAAACAAAAAAAAAAAAAAAAAATTAGTACCTGAACACACTGGTGTCCTGTTGTGCACAGAGGAGCCACTGACCGGCTTGCCGTCGCCGGTGACACACCAGCAGTAGCCTGTCAGAGTGTGGCACTGGACCTTCAAGGGAGAGGACACAACAGACCAACACATCACACTCCATGAATAGTGAAGTAATGTCTCGGATGATGTGAGGGCGATAGAGAGAGAAACATTCCCCGATACGCACTTGGGCAAAGGTTCCGTCCTCGTTGCATTCGGGGATGAACATGGACTCCTGAGGTCTTCTGGCCTGCTCCAGAGCCTGGTTCCTCTCCACCCGGCACTTCGACTGACCCGCGTCTGTAACATATTGACAAGCGGCGGTCCGGTTCTCAAACAGGGCACCTGCATCTGCCCAGACATTTTCTTTCCACCTGTGGGGGGAGACATGTGTTCTTGCCCACTGTTAGCCTTTGAGAGTCTGACATTGACATGTTTTGAGGAACATAGGGGAGTGAAAATAATTCATTCACTTTCTCTCCGCTCCTTTTAAGAGTTGTAAATGGAACGGATGGTTGCTTACAAATCTTTTTCCTTTGTGTTGTGGTATCAAAAGCACAGGTTTCAGATATGCACTGTTCCATGCGCCACAGTGACCTTCTGAAATGTCTACAAAAAGAGCCCCGGCAAATGAGCCAGACTTGCTCAAAGGAGGCAAAGATGGAAACGTCTTTAAAGGCTCTAAACCCCCAAAAAGGAGCACTGCTTTCATTGCGCAGGCGGCTCCTGTGGACTAAAGCTTCATGTTCAACTCTCCCCGTGTACATACTCACACCGGGGAGCTGACCAAAGTGGCCACAGTCCTCCGCTTTTGGCAAATGTTCTCCCTGGATAAATAACAGTTTGGGGAAAAAAAAAAAAAAAAACGCTGCCTTTAGACCTGAGAGGAGACAGACACTGTGTCTCCATTGCAGTAAAAGAATGACAGAGCCACAACAACGTGGTTGTGTCATGGAGAAGAGACACAGCTACATTTGTCTGTGGCCAAACGTTGTCTAGAGAAAAAAAAAACACACAAAAAAAGTTCATCCATACCTACTTTTGTGTTTCTTTTTTCCAAACAAGAAAACTTGCTGGCAACTCCATTACAGTCCTAGGCAAAAGTCTTTAGTTACCCTTCATTTCTTTAAATTTAGCTTCAAAGTAGCCAGTCTTTCTTGTAATCTTGTGGTCCTCAGTATCAGATCTTTAAACTATCTGAGGGTCCTTTAAAGTTTTTTTTTCTTTGTCAAGGGACATTAGCTGCCTTTCCCTTCATTTTCAGTCTATTCCTTGAATAAGACCATTTCCAGAGGCATGTGTTTTATCATTACTACATCAAGCCACTTAACACCGATAATCAATCAAGCTGAAAAAGATCCAAATACCTCAAGAAAAGGAAAGCCTACCAATGAGCTCTTATCTGTAAGCATTTTTTTACTGGAAGCCTTTGTTTGTTCCCATTTGTTAAGAGGAATCCATAAAATGTCAAAGACATCAGTTTCATAGTTTATTAAAGTTGTGTTGCTAGGATACGGCACCTATTTGAACTTTTCTGCGTAAAGTGACAGGGAGCTCAAGACTTTTGGATTCATCCACTGTGTTTTGCCGTCTCTGTTAAAGCAAACAAGGATTAGCACATGAACCGGCTGCGAAAATACAGTATGACTTCCATCGCAACAACAAAAGAAAAAAAAAACCCGCTGCACCTAAACTGATCGAGCTTTGCCCTGCTTACCCCGTCCGGCATACCACAGTTATGAAACAAAGCGCTGAGAATAAGCAGCGAAATAGATTCGCTCCAAAAATGGATTTGGTTGAATTGCCTTTTTCTTTTCTTTTTTTTTTCCCCCCAAAAGTACAAAAGGGGCTAAAAAACTGGGGTGAATGCCAGGTTCAGACCTTGACTCTGGACCTATCAATCTCTGCTGTTGTTGCAGGACTGCCATTCCAGACTAGCAGGAAGTGTGTGATCCTGGTCTGTTCGAACTTACACGCCTATAGAGGGGCGGAAAATGAAAGACATCTTTTCATTCAGTTCCATTTTCCTTCTACTGTTGTTGTGGCTCCGAGCTTCGGACATATGAAAACACGCGCTTTGATCCTCAAATAAATGAGTTTATATTGCTTTCCCAGCACACTGTGGCAAAAGCGTGAATCTGAGGGGTTCTGAGACTTGATCACAGCTGCCAGATATTGCTTGTTCGGATCTTTCCTGGGTCAGATCAGAAGATCAGAGGTCAGCGTGCAGTTGTCGTTACGTCCCTTTACGTTCACCTGGCTGAACGTGACCCCGCCCCGGCCCTCACCTTTGAGCTCCAGGTCTCTCCCCTCGGGCGATGAAGTGGGCGCTGGAGCCGCCGGCAGCTGGTCTTTTTTCACCCAGTTTTTACCTGACGCACAAAAAGTCACACACGTGATCATGTAGTCGTTCAACGTAGCTCTCAC